ATTTAAACTAAGGATTTCGAAAGTTTCTATAATATCCCCATATTTGTTTCCATAAAACTAAATCATCCTAAATTTAAATTCAACTAATAAAGGTAATAAGAGTAAATATTTGACTAAAAAGATTATGTATATTAATTACATTGATTTTTATTAATTTACTATTTTTAGGCAATAATTAATGAAATTGGCGGGAAAGTGTTTCTAAAAGTGAATTATGTTAATCCTTATTATATATTAATAGATATTAAATTCCACTTCTATACAAAAATAATAGGATTTTGAGATAAATCTCACGTAAATTTCATTGAAAATAATAAGACTTTAAAATAAATCTCACGTAAATTTTACGTGTATATAGTTAAAAATAAATAAATGTATTATTGTTAAAAATAAATCTCACGTTTAGTTTTGGATTAGTTTATGAGGTGAATGTAATAGTTAAGAAATTCATAAATTTTTAATTTACATACAAATATTATATTTATAAAACCATCTTTTCATACATCAATTTTTTATTTTATTTTATGTGTGTACCTATCCGCCAGAATAAGATACAAATTAATCGATAATCTTTTTAAATGTGTTTTGATTTATGCATTTATCTCTCCATCAAACTGTTATGCAAAAAATATATTGGCCGAATTTTGTGTGCCATAAAAAGATAACAACTTCCACCATTCAAGGGCAGCATTAAATGCTCCATGATTTTATTTAAAAATAAAAAATAAAAACTACTATAAATAGTATATAATTAATGCAGATAAGATTTTGACAAAGATTTGACTTATTATTTTTAGAAAATGGTAATTCTTTTTATATAGATATACATAAGAATAACCTTAAGAGCAGAGAAAAAAAATAGAAGAAAGAAAAAAAAAAGTTTAAACATAACTGGTTCTTCATACTCTCCATTAAATGACAACAAAGAAACCAAAAATAAAATAAAAAAAATAATAGAAAATGTTATTTAGAGTGATGAAAATCAAGAAAAAAAATAACAAGGAACTGAAGTTAATTAGTAAAATTAATTACAGATGGAGTCATGAAGAAATAATTAAAACGTTTAAATCTTCCAAAAAAAAAAAAAAAAATGAAAAATGTGAGGATAAGGCGTTGAAAAGTCGGCCTAAAAATGAGCAATTTTGCGGTGGAGCAGCCGCTGCTTGGCCGTGCCAAGCTCCGTCGTCTCCAAGATCTTTAACCTCTGTATCGCCATTATTTCGCCTTTATTTATCTCCTTTATTAGTTGCAATTCTGATAATAATCATCATATTAAAATATTGGTCAGCAAAACTAAGCCGAAATTTCAAAATCTTTCAAATAATTTTTTTTTTCTCCTATCAGCAACAACTATTTAAAAAAAAAAATCCTACCAAGACAAACTGTAAATTAATTTATTTGAAACCACGTAAAAAACAAATTTAAAAAAATAAAGAAGAAGAAGAAGATGAGCAATTGCGTAGTACCTCCGGCATTGGAGACAGTACCAGGAAAATTGAACTGAGCCAAATCTGAAAAAAAAAAAAAAAAATTAGGAAAAGAGAACTAGTTACTCATCAGCTGTTCAAAAATTAAAACGATTTCAATTTCATTAATCATGATTAACAGCACAGTAATTAAGAAAGGGGTATTTCTTTTTTACCATTTTGAGAGGGATCGTGAGATGCTAGGTAGAGGATGAGAAAGCAGATGAGAGTAAGCATCGGAATCAGATGAATGTAGCTTTGATGCTTATCAACGCCGGCAGCCCCAATCGCCGCCGTCGCCTTCTTCTTCTTCTTCTTCGCCGCCTCGTCGTCGTCTCGATCTACGTACGGAGAATCAGAGGACGATAGTGACGACGATTGAGAGGGAGATTGTTTCTGCGCTTCGAAGGACAGTTTCTCGTCCTTCGACGACGGCGAGCCCAGCGACTGCCGCTGCATATTGAGCTGAAGGAGAGATTGAGAGAGAGGAAGTGAGAGTATTTTGGGGTGTGCTACGGCCTACGGGATTCAAAAAAAAAAAAAAAGGAATTCGACCCGACCTGACCCGGATGAGATGTTGTTGGGTTTTGTAAAAGAGTTGAAATGGAGCGTGGGTTTTTTTTTTTTTGTGTAAAAAGGAGTTCGAAGGTCTAGGCTACAACTTGTCGGGGGTACGCTACCCCAATGTTATCGTGTTGGAGTCATTCTCCCATCCCTTGAGGTGGCAAAGAGAGATGGTGTACTCTCATCGGATAGGAAGCCGTCAAGCTCGCCAAATGATTCGCCACTACATTCGCTTCCCTATGCACATGTTGAAGTCGCACCGTCCACTCTCGAGAAATTAGTTCTTTAATTGCCCTGATCATGGACTCATGATTCCCGAAAGAGCCATCCACTTGAGTTATCATATTCGTAACACACTGACTATCGACCTAGACAATAACAGAATGATGTCCCTGGGACAATAACAGAACGATGTCCCTGGTCCCATGACAATAACAAACTTTGAAACTGTTAGAGTAAGATACCCGGCGTTCCAATCAAATTGGACGTATTCTACTTGTAAATACAATCTATTGGAATTATATTAAATAATAAGGCATTACTTTATTTTAAGAGTAAGCATTTATCATATATTTGCACTTAAGATAAAATCCCTAGATCACTTATAGCTATAAGATATGGTTGCGCATAGAGATGGTGATCATGGAACATATCTTGAAAGCTGTGATCTTAAATACAGTTCCAAGTCGTTGGATGTTTCGAGATGGGATATCGAATAAATCCGGAAAAGACTTGCACATAGTATGTATGCTTATTAGATAAGAATGTTGCATTCCATCAACATTAGCGTGGGACGCAAATAGATATATGTGGGTGCTTGTTAGAGAACAAGTTCACTGAACATGACCGTATGAAAATTCTTAATGAATGTTTATCATGTCGAATAAGAATTTTCATGTTACAATAGTAAATGATTAATCCTTAGACTTGAGGCACGATGGTAACTTTGTGCATATTATATTTTACTTTGATTTATCCTTTTGATTGCTAGCACAATCGTATAAAGGGATATTTTGGATATTATATTAATATGTATGAAAGTTTGTCAGTGGCCAACAAATGATTCGATACTTATGAAGATAAGTGAATTTCCTATGTGTTTCGTAGTTAGTAATTCTAAGTCCTTGGCCAAGGCGGGATGAATAGAGATTCATAAACGAATTGTTAAACTTGAAATGGAATCATAGTTATTAAATCAATTTGGGTTTCGACAAAATCATACTCAAAGATTTAATCGGGAAATTGGATGTCGAAAGGATTTTACATGTATGGACTTGTAATCGAAATAGGTTTACTCGCTATTCACTTAATACTAGATTCATGCTACTTGCTATATGTTCCCAATGATATGTGGGTTCTTGAATTAAAGAGTTAATTCAAGAATAAGAGTTAATATGAATAACTCAAATTACAAAGAGTTGTAAACCCACTACTAGTATTAATTGTGAACCTAAAAGGTCACACCAATTTTTGAATGAAGGTAAAATTCAAATAGTAATTCTAAAGAGTTAGAATTAATTGACAAATCTAATTTGATTAGATGTCAATTAAAGGAATATATTAAATTAATCAATTGGATTGATTAATTGAATTTTGGATATTAATTTAGTAATTAATTGAATTACTAATTAATAGTTGGAATTTAAAATTGGATTTTAAATTTCAAATCCAAATAATAATATGATTATTAAATAAGGAAATTGGAAGAAAAGATTAAAATAATAAAGTCTTGAAAAATGTTTTCAAGAATTATTATTTTATTATTTTATCTTTAATATGATTAAAGATTCAAATAAATGAGAGACAAAATAATGGTGGTTGATGGTGGTTATAAACCACTCCACATTACTAATTAAAAGTCAATATTTGGTATGATAATTTAAATAAAATCCGATTTTATTTAAAATAAATAATTATCAAATATTAATTATTTTATGCTAAAATGTTTAATATAAATAGGTGCAAAATGTTTGCACATAAATTGCTAAGTTTTTCTAAGTTCTTCCAAAGAGAAAAATCATCCAAATAGTTGAGTGATAAAACAAGAAAGAGTTCTTGTAAAATTTCCTTATAAATATATATATTCTATACTTATTGAAAAATCGAGTAGTTTCTACTAGAGAAGAAACTATAGTCGGAACCGGACTTCAAAAGGTGGATACGATTAGAGGGAAGACATTTGGATTCCTAAAGTGAGTAACAACAAGAAGTGATCGTTACCAAACCGGGAATTGATTTCCTCATACATCGTCGGTTTTGAAGGAGTTCAAGAACAAAGGTAATTTTTATAAATTACATATCAAATCAAAATTAGTAAAAGTTACTAGATTTTAAAAAATGCTTATTTGTTATCTCGTTATACTTATGTACGGAATAAGTATTTATAAGATAAATACTTATAAAAATTTTAAATTCCGCTGCAAACTCTGATCCATACAGTATATCGAACCCAACAGAAACAACCCCCAGAGCTCGGCTCCCGTGATAGTACAAGTTCGAGTTACCCAATTAAAGAAGTGTGGAACCACTATTGATCTTCTTTTAAAAGAGAAAGGAAAGATATTATAAATTAAAGATGAGGATAAACGATATTAAATATTAATTATAAATTAACGATGTGAGGTTAACATGTCATATAATTTACGATATATCATTTTATTATAAACGATCTAAAATTAGCTTGTTCAAGAGAACGTAAAATTTGTATGCTTAAACAATTAAAAACTCCTAAAATATTATATTAACATATGTAAAATTATCTAAACTTATTTATATTATTATCAAAAGATGTGAAGTCACCTAAAACTTTTTTAAATTTTTTTGTATAGAAAATATATCTAAAAAGTAAAAACATTAAAGTTTATATATGTATGAAATATGTTTTCTCAATATGACATGATAAAATATTATATAAAAATATCTAAAATACTAGAAGCCTAAATAAATACATTGTAAAGTTTTTGAAAGAAAATTTACCTAGTATATATAAAATAAATATTGACATGATGCTGAGTATTATAACGATACTACGGTGCCTGAAAATTTGAGTATAGAAGATTTTAAAATTATTATTATTATTCTTTTAATGAATTTGAGTACAAAAGATTTCAAAATTATTATTATTTTTTAGTTACTGTAAATATTATTATTATTCTTTTAAGTAATTTTAGTACAAAAAATTTCAAAATTATTATTATTTTTTATTACTGTAAAAAAAAATGTACACATAAAATTCCACGCTTTATGCAGATTTATCAATTTTTACAAATAAAATGGTATTTATTTTATATTGAAAAGAGACTAAGACAATTTTGAAAAAAGAAAAAAAAAACTATATATTTTCAAAATTATCCTCTTGATTTTTGAAACAATACATTTGTAATTTGACTTAATTATTGTAAAATTTTGAATCTTATGAAAAAAAAAATTAAAGAGATGAATTTCGATTGATTTGAAATTCTTAAACCATCTTAATTTTGATATTTTTCCAAGAGGTTTGTTAATTTTAAAGTGGCGCAAAATTTTTCATTTAAGTTTAGCCGTCCAAGGATAGAAGCATGTGATTAGATATTTTTTTAATTCAATTTGAACATATTAGGAAAAGATTTTGAATTAAGCCCAATTTTATGGCAACTAAAATGAGAAAGGATTTTGAATTTCAAATTTTCAATTCAAGTCTTAAGGTAATTTTTTCGGCAATATGATTGTTTGGAATAAAAAACACAATTTAATTTTTTAAATCAAATATGAGAAAGGGTTTTGAATTTCAAATTATATTCAATGATCAAAAAATTTCACGCATAGAAGGAAGGCGATCCCCAATAATCCCCGTCTCTCTTGCAGATTTCAATCCATCCTCGTCGCCCTCCTCTCGGCCTCCGCTTGGCTGGTAGTCGGTCCCTCGCCGCCGGCCCTTCCCACTCGCTGCGACGCTGCTCGCCACCAGTGCTGATGGCTCTTGTGGTCGTCGAATCATACTCGCTTTCTCAGGTGGGCTAGGGTTTGCGATTGCAAGACTTTTCGGCGCGGTGGAGGGTGCAAGGGTCGCGGTGGGTTGGGTTAGGGTTGGTTTCGGCTCTGGCTGGTTTCATCCTTGGGTCGAAGCGCCTTTTTGCTACTCAGATGCTCTCTCTCCGAGCTCGCGATTGTCGGAATGGATGGACTTTTGGGCTCGTTCTTTCCGGTCGCCGAGGTATGCCGGGGTTATGTCGGTTTTCTCTGGTCCTTTTCGCCGGCGGAAGGGTGACTGTAGGTTGCGAGCCTTCGATTGGTGCCTGGTCGAGATTCTGGTTTCACCGGACACGATTGAGGGTATGTTCCTTCTTTTTTCCATTCTTGTCTCGGTATTGTTTTGTTGCGACTGGCGGAGCTCTGTGCTTCTCTGTTCTCTCCGATTTTGGAAGAATCCCTGGGGCTGCGTTTTATTGTTGGGAGACAGGGCTTGGTGCGTGTGGCTCGGGGTTGGGCTCTTTTGTCGCTGAGGTGCCTTTTGTCTCCGGGATGGTTGGCTGGATCTGAGGATTTGAGTCAGTTTCCCTTCCCCCGGTCCCGGGGTGCTCACTGATCTTTCAGAGTCCGCTAGTGGTGTTAGGGGGCTCGTCTGTCGGTGTTGGGAGCTTTCTCGGTGTCTTTTGGCGTTGGGAAAATTGGCTTTGGGTGGGTTCGTAATATGAGTTTCGATTCAGCTAGGCAGTTTGACAGTGGAGGGGTCGCTCTTCTCATGCTATTGAATCCCCCTGGGTTGATTTTGGCGGCTGCTAGTCTGGTTAGGATATGCTGTAGAGGGAGGTCTTGAGTGTTTTTATTTGTCTTTTCTGTGTTTTATTTGTGTTAGTAATGTTTTGTATTCCGTGTTTTTTGTCTGGACGGTTGGCCCCTGTGAGCCCGAGTGTCAA